AGATGAGTAAGCTTTGACATTAATTGAGGAACATCTCCAGTGTCTCTGGATGTCAGAACCGTTACACACAGAGCTGGGAGATGCTGAAATCCAAAGTCATGATATGAAGTAATGTTCAGTCACCGTCACTAATGTATGGTTTTATTTTCTACACTGAACAAGACTGCAGTGAGCCTCACTGATGCCGTTCCGAAACAATCCTTTGTTGGTCCTTGATTGCTTTGGACTGATGTTGTGTGAGTAAATCCAACAGAACACTGGATATAAAATATGCAGCGTGCGGTGTGTGTAGTTTGTTTGAAGTTGAAAGTGAAGCACGTTCCTGTAAACAGTCATTACGCTCTATTCTTATACCGTTACCACCTGCATTCCAACACGGCATGAAACTGCAATATGTGCATCACAGGGTCATTAGTTCTACTCATTAGCAACCTAATAGGGCTTCTCTGCCCCCCAGAAAGGCCCCATTATTTGGAACTTTTCTGCACAATAAGAATATCACGTGTGGATTATAATGACTGTTGACTCATGCGTTCACACTGCTCCTTTAAAGGGACAAACTCAAGATGTTGGCTCTCTGATGTAATTCTGCAGATGTAGGGTGAGCTAACATTATAGGAACAGCACGTAGAATTGTCTGTCTTTACATCATTTGTACGTCTGTTTCTTCCGCTCTGAGTTGTGGCGGTTTGATCGCGGGGCCGTGTGGTGTCGCTCCGCCAGAGTCATTACGACTAATGAGACGGGGCGACAGACAGGGCACCTCATAATGTGTCCTAATAAAATCCCTCCGTCGTTACCGCGATGCAGACCTCGTGTCACAAAAATTACAAAAAGGTCAAGTCGTGTACGGCTGACAAATATGGGGAACGTTTGCAAGTTTGATTTCAGCCTTTAAGGAAACATCGGCTACACTTCCCGTACAACGCTGTGTGATTGTCCCGCCGCAAAATGGGAAGCAGCAGAGACATGATTTCTAGCTACATTACATTAGTCTCTGGTGTATTTCAATAAGAATCGCTTCCCGGGGCGTTCCTTTCTATCACCTTTTTAAGCTGAACTACAGAGTTGAATAATAGATCATGTTCTGCTTCCCCCTCAAAGAAGTTAATTCCCCTCATGGTGCCGTTGTTTCAGCATTTATCTGTCACAGACTCCAGTGCTTATCATAGAAAATACCAATTATTATGTGTTTCTCCTCGCCGTATCCCTCCCATTGTCCTGGAAAGCTCTCCTGTGCTGCAGGGCTGCAGTGTTGGAGCTGATGCAAACTTGGATATCTTTATTTTGTATTTGTAGTCGACATATTCACAGCACACCTGTCATCACTGCTGCACTAATAAGGACACGGTGAAGAGAGAGAAATATGCAGCACATTTCTCCAGCCAAACACATTCAATAAGAAGGGACTTTGTGTCCATGTGCTTTCTGTGGCATCTCCTATTTATTCGGCTGTCAACTGCCTGCGAGTGGAAGGGACTGAAAAATTGTTAATGCTAATGGCCAACCACGGGCCACGCGGTTCTGCATGTCCTTTGTTGTGTTAAATTGCGAAATATTGCGTGCGGTTTAAATGCGGCAGAATGTATGGCCGGTTATGCTGTTCAAACCACAACAGCACCCAACCGAGAGCATCCCAGCTGCATGATAATAAGCCTTCTGTCTCCCAGCACTCGGGTTTTCTTGTGCGTGCGAGAGTCCTTCGGTGCGGGGCAGAGCCAGGATCACTGGCCTTTTGTTAGGAACTGGTTAAAGCTGCTGTGTTGCAGGCCTCCCCTCCTCCACCTCTCAGCCAAGATTTCCACTTATTACGCGCACACACTTATCTCTCAGATCGTTGACAGACTTTTGAGAATTTCCAACTAGAAATATAGCTAAAAGGCACACGGGAGTCGTTCCCTGTGTAAATCTGTATGCAAACGAGCGCCTCTTCTCTCCTCTTCAGAACCCAGTAGTCCCTTTTTAAGTGGTCTTAATGCATATGCTCTTTCATAAACTGTGCAATCTCCAAGATAGCTGAAACCTCCAGAAGCTTTAAGGAAATGGTAACCAGCACTGATTATTAAGGGCCAAGTAGGGAGCAGCTCAGCAAGTATCCCTCGCTGGAAACATTTTAGTGCCTCTTAATGCACTAACATTAGCACCTCGGTACATTTGTACGTCTTGTTCAGAGGCGCCGACATCTGCTCTTTCCTGTTTTCTCTAATCTAGTTATGAAACCTGCATGTCACAGAAATCTGATGGGATGCTGTAAAACCGGGGTTTGTGTCTGATCTGGTGCTTAAAATCTGCTGATGCTAGAAATAGGGCTTAACCACACCCCCACTGCACTGGTTCAGTCAGGTTACTGGTGATCAGAGCAGGATTACTCCCTGTTGTATGAAAACAGGGCAACCATTCCACATCATACATGGTGTCCTTACCGGGCACTGGAGCTCCATCCATGTCCAGAGTTCTGAAAAGTAGAATTAAAGAAATATATTATCCAAATACCCCCAGAGACAAAGAAAAATGGGACCGCGTCGTGCAGCGAATGTCAATGATTCACATTAGTATTAATGCATTTTGTGAATCAAATAAAATGCTAAAATGCACCGCCGAAATTGTTGTGGCGCAGTTCATTAAGCACATCGTCGGATGAGCGTCAGATCACGGCCTATTAAGCCGCTGCTTGATTGGCAAGTTGTGAAATTAGAAGCTCATTCTGCATTTACATTTTTGTATAATTTGGAGACCTTAAAAACTGACGTCCTTGCTGAGGCTGGATGTAAACAGCTACGAAGCTGCAGCCTCATGGCGGTCATGAGCGTCTAGACAAGAGCTGATTATGTCTGGTTAAGCTACGCGGCTGAGCTTCGCCCCGTTCATGGTCAACAGCGGTTTTGCTCTTAAACCTGTTATTTTATCTTTCTCTCTCTTCTCTACTTGATTCGTTCTTTTTTTTTTTGAAAGGGAAGGATGTGAAACAGTCAGAATAACCACAACCGACTCCAAAAAAGTTCTGCCCTTGAGGATGGTTACAGTGTGAAAAATACCCAATTTTGATATTTATTTTCGCAACTTAAGTTTATAAAAATAGAAAATAAGCAAGCAAGCTGTAGGTGTTATTTTTTTTTTTTCTTATGATGACAGGTTTCACTGCTTCCTACCAAACTTTATACTGAAGTTATGTAATCCCCCCACACTAAATTATAATTAATACAGAAAGTATCCACTAGAGAGTTCACGGTCCAATGCAAATCTGCTTGGCATGAAAACGCTATGGGAGCCACTGCTCTAGATAAATGGATCCCTTTGAGTATACCGTTTGTTTGAAGACTAATGATGATGATAGTGTGGTGATACCAACAGGGAAAGTGTCTCTCTGCATGGCTTCACCTTGAGGAAGCTAAGAAAACACAGTTTAGTAGAGATTACATGGTTCGGATGTGAGCTTTTCATCACTATGTTTCCCCCTGAGACACTCGGTAGTTTGTTTGTGTCCAGAACTCGTGTCCAAATATTCAAGAAGATGCATCAGTATGCTTCTGCTGAATATTCCTGCACAACAACTGTTTATTTTTTTTCCTTCTAAAAAGGTAATTTTTTTCAGTATTTCACTATATTTCTCAGTCCTCACTCGGCTGTGTCTCACTGAAAGGGACCTCAGGTGGTGCTGTTGTCCTGACAACCAATAAGGGGAGCATCACAGTCAGACGGCTGGATAATCTGAGAGAGAGAGAGAGAGAGAGAGAGAGAGAGAGAGAGAGAGAGAGAGAGGAGGTGGAGGGGGGAGCGATTTTCCCAGACTCTGAGCAGAAGCCTGCCTCTCTCCATCGCCGCTGCTGGCTGTGCCGTCCCTTTACGCAGAGAGTATTACGCATCACTGGACTATAGAGCGAGGACCCGCACGCTGTTTGTGCCCAAAAGTATTTCAGGAACCATTCGTCACCCATCCATCCCGGACTGCTTTGGACCTAAACACACCCCGCGTTTTTTTTTTTTACCAGAAGTCTGGACAACTACTCTTCTTTCCTTCCTCCCCTTTTCACCCGTGGATCTATCGCTCCCGAAACGCGCGCTCCTCGTGCTTTAAAATGCAAGTCGGACGCAAGTCGTGTTGGAGGCAATTGCAGGCTTCTTTTTTCAGACTGCTGTGTCTTATCCCCACAGGATTCCCCGTCCGGAGTGTGGATATGCAGCGGGCCACCGACAACATCACGATCCGCCAGGGCGACACGGCGATCATAAGGTAAGACTCATTCTCCAACTTTGCTCTCCTCCCGTCTCCCTCCGGATGCACAGCAGCGTCCTCTCCTCTCCTCTCCGGGAGCGAGCAGCTGCGTGCCGAGGGGCGCGGAGCCAAAGGTGACCATCGTGTGGACTGTTGTTGGGAACGATCCTGTGTGCTGGTCGGTGCGTTTTAATGGGAAATGTTTGGATGTGAGTTGATCTGCTTTGCAACTTTTATCTCGCCAGCCAGCGCTGACCAAATCCCCACAGTGTGTCAACAACGTCCCTGCAGGGAGTTTAGGCTCCATCATGTCAGTTGTTGAAGGAGCTCTCACGCCTTCCTTCACATGACGCACAGAGCTCCGCCGCGACGCACACCGAGATATGAACTTAATTCAAGAACCTCCTGATGAGACGAAGTGCGTCACGGTGTCCGGAGACGGTGTTTGTGTGCGTCTTCAGCACGCAGATCAGAGGCTGCTGCGAGCAGAGCTGGAGAAAGAGAAAAGGAGATGTGTGTAGCCCTGTTTTGATCTTAGAAATCACAGATTGGTGAAGATTAAGTGCAGGGGACGAGAAGGTGAGGCGACCTCAGGTGATCATTTGATTCAGAATCTCTGCGTTTGCGTCGCTGCTTGGAGAATTTAAAGCTGCATCCTCCAAATCCGGTTCAGTCTTTTACCTTGAGTCCGTTTTTGCGCCCACAGTCCCACTTAATCAGCTCCTAGACGATGCAAGCTGTCAGCTCGGTGCTATTGTGATGCTGCTGTGCAGATGTCAGCGACCACGTGACTCCAGCCATGTGTTTGTGACAGGCTGTAAATGCAAGGGGATTTAGATTGGCTGTTTTTTTGGTTTTTTGTAAACAAGGAGCTTTGACTCCCCCCTCCTCGCTTTATCCCCCCTCAAACCCACCCACCTCTGAAATGGGATGTACTGTACTGTTGGGAAATCCACTGGTATAATAGGCTGCACACAACACACTCGATGCCATTGATTTCTCTCCCTCTCTCCCTCTTCCTCTGTTTCATGCTGTATTTACAGTGCATCACACAGTCTTGCCCTAATGAGTGCGAGAATATAAAATGCAATTATGGCAAAGACTTTTAACACAGCCTCGCACTACAAAACCCCAGGGAAAAAGTTGCACAACCACGTTTCCCCACATGTGCCCTGAGCTGGCAAACACACACACACCCCTGCACACACACACACACACACACACACACATATGCACAAAACAAATCCCTCTAATGGATTCCTTTTTTGCAAACAGGTGCCATCCATTCAGGTATCTGCTGATCAAATTAGGCAATTGACTACTGTTGAACTCACCGGAGGTCACGGCTATTTGTTTCACTTTCCAGATCCAATTGACTGTGTCTTAGCTATATTCAGCCATTTAGTCACCCAGTCAGTCCGTTTCCTTTAAAGGTGACGGCTGGCTTCACACTCAGCCGGAACCCAATTAGACTTGCCTCTCCAAGAAGTCACTCGCATCCCAAGTCCACTATTTTACCATCATCGCTGATGAACAACGTCTGAATAATCATCTGCGGCGATCACTCAGCGAGTGTCATAATTAATTTGATGCTTCTAATGCGTCACGTTGGGACTGATGATCAGTCTTATTTATTATCAGTCAGACAGCGATAAACTGCAGCTCAGACCCCCGTGGCTCTGTGGAAAAACGCAGCCATTTTTCACACCCAGTTTCCACCTGACAAACAGGAAAGGGAAAAAAAAAAAAGCAAAACATTCAGCTCTAACATGCAAGAAGTTTGAGCAGAGGTGAGAGGCCGGCGGCTAGTAATTTGTGGAGCTACGCTGCGTATCCTTCTTTGTAAGCTGGGTTTTTGTGAAGGCTGAGGGGCTGCGGTGACCTGCGGGCGTAATAAGGCCGGCGCTCCTTCGGCGGGGCCTGTGGCTGCAGTCGTGACATTCACGGCACAAGAAGGGGGGAAGCGGGAGTCGGGAACAGCGTGTGGCCAAACAGCCGCTGTGACAGAACACACAGCAGCAGGCCTCGCTGCCGAAACCAGAGAGGAAATGTATTTTTATCGGGAGCCGAGAAGTGTGTCATGCTGAATAAATAGGCAAAGCAGAGTCTTTCTCATGCTTAAAACTTCACCATTTGCAGCACCGTTGACTCACAGGGAAGCCCCGTTTGTTTAAGCTTCACAACAGCCCGTTCATTCATGCCATGATTTAAATCAGAGCTGTGGTCATGTGTAATTAATACATTTAAAAGATGCATCGGAGACCACAGCAGACATACTGCAGAACTGTGTCAGGCTGAATTATTAACCAAACATTTAAATTTCTAGATCCATATAAATATCTGCCGACGCTTTGTTGTGACAGCGAACGCACCGCCTCCCCAGCATGTTGTGACACAGCGCTTTGGTCACAGCGTCTCGTTCCTCCTCAGACTTCATCAAAAGTGAGCAGAAGCTAAATATTGACAGATATCTCCACCAACTGTTGGCGCCTGTAGGGAGCAGCAGTGAATCCACATTGATTTCCACTGGCTCGTCTTCTGTCTTACAGGACTGAAACTCAGTCGCCTGTTCTCCTTTAAGTCAGCGTCACATGTGAAGATTAAGCAACTGTGAGCCTCTGAACCCCATCAAGGGGTTAATCTGAGCGAGATTATTCTGTTAAAGACAGTCGCTACGCTCGCCGGCTCAAATAAACGTCTTCACACCATTAGTTGTGGTGTGACGTGACTTAAAGGTCATCTGATGTCCGCTAGATTGTGGGATTAAACACTCGTAACCGTGTCAGTGGGAAGGTTTCGTAACGCGGTGTCTTCGGATCCCTTGTTGATCTTGTGTAACGTGCTTTTCTCAGAAGTGCGTACACGTAAGCGAGCTGCATCCCAAGTTTTCTGCTGTTTTAATGATCTGGCGGTTCTGTGTTGAGTTCAAAGATTACCGACTATCTGGGTCTTACACTTGTCCCAGAGCTGTCTTCATGCTCTAAAGGGGGGCTTTTTTGAACATTTGTATCTGCTTGAAGTGACATTTGCCCCTGGAAAGCATGAACATAAGTCCCGGCATATTAAATCTAGGCCTGTGTCCCAGCAGTCGTGTTTCAGACCTATAAGATTTAGGTCACTGAAAAACACCCCATATTTCAGAGCCCTTTTTCACGGTGACTTAGCCTGTTTTTTTTTTTTTACAAGGATGATGCCAACAAGTGAAATCGCGCCCTTCTCATCCTCGGCAAGACGTAATATGAATCCGAGGAGAAGAAAAAGAAAAGTTTCTTCACATTTCTTGAAGCCATTTCTGTGTCACAATAGTTTACTTTTTAATTGCTTTTTTTTAGTCCGTCTTTCCGCCGTGGCCTTAAGGGGGAGGTTGCAATGTCAGGCGAAGCTCTGATAATTGACAATTGCTTATTAAAGCATTGATGACACAGACTGTGATTGCTCTCCTCTGGGTCAATTATCTGTGCTTTGACAATACTCTCTGCTTCGCCTGTTACTTTCAGGGAAGATGATTCTGCACTTGCGCTTGGCCCCAAAGGATCGTCGTCATAACTTACACCAGAACTCTCTGCCTTTAATTTGAGTCGGAGTCTGGCGGATATTATGTATGTGAAATCTGCTCGAGGCTGTAACTCCACACAAGACATGATGTTAGTCTAAGTCGAGCTCTGTTGCGCTTCACAATGCTGCAGAATAGAGACTATAGTTATTTTCACTTGCATTATTAAAGCTTCAACTATTGAACTCTGATGGCTGATGCATTAGTCACACTACAAGGAGCTGCACTTTCCAACATGGAAACAAAGACTTTTCAGATGAAGCAAACCGGTTGACGTCTCCTCCGTAACCCCCAGTGAGGAAAGCTGATGTACTTTATATATATTTCCACAATGCCAAGTGGCATTAGTCCTGCACGAGTGGGAAAACACGACAATACGTCTCCTCCAGAGCAGTAAAAACAAAAGTAAAGGGAATCTTTGAAATCGTAATTTCAATTTTAACTACAAGTATCACTCTTTAGAACAAAAATTTCTACTCCAAATTTGCATTTCTAATCATGTGATTGTGGCGGGACGTTTGTAGAATAATTTTGAAAAACTGATTCCAAAACTATGATGGCTGCATGAATTCAATCGTGTTGGTACTGATCAACGTTCCCCATCATAACGAAAAGATCTCCTGAGAACTTCAGTAGAGCTCAACAGAACTTGTGTTTCATCCAAGAGGCTTCCATGGATATGAAAGGCTGATGTGACACCCCAGATGAATACTATCACCTCCTACTGACATGCTAACGGCGCCTCGGTGAGCCAGGATTCCCGCGCTTCGAGGTGTAAATGGTTGTGAAACTACTGGATCAGGGACGGCTCCAGATGTGGTGAACGTTTTTCAGGACTGCATTATAAGCACCTGATAAATGTTGTTGTTGTTGAGCTCCTCCTCTCTCTTTCTTTTTTTTGTTTTTTCTAAGTGTCACCACCGTTACCATCACAAGCCTTCCCTGACGCAGCTGTTTCACTATCATTCACACCTCCAGGCCCATGAGTCTTGGATGAGAGCTCAAGACCCAAAATCAGAAGTCCGGTTGCTTTCTTGCTCAGTGGACAACCGTGACAGGCTGCCTGAGAATCTACACAGACTGCCAATTATCTCACTCTGTCTCTGACTGAGAGGACACTTCTGCACCTGCTGCTCAGCACCGTGCTGAGTCTGAGCCCAGCGTCCAGCACGTTTGATAAATGTGAACGTTGTGTACCGTAGCCGGACACATCGCGGCGATGCGTGCCAGCTTGGAGGAGGCCGAGATCAAGTTCACTCTGGCGTAAAAGCGACGCATGTCTGTCCCACATGAAGGACATGTAGAGCTGATGAGAATAACATATCTCGTCTCTCTGTGACTTTTTCCGATACAAAAGCGTCTCTCTGCGCTGCCTGCCTCTGCACAAACCTGCGTGTGGATGCATAACTCAGCACTTGCGTGACAGATGAGGTTTGACGACAGGCCAGCGCCCTCCTCGTCCCCA